TCTCTCCGCGTGCGTCACTTCTGAGCGGCGCATGCACAAAGCAGACCTCATACGTAATTCCCCCGGAACTCCTTCCGTTTACAACAGTGAGCGCAAGCTAGATTCAAGTGATTATTACGTTTTGAATATGGATATTTTTCTTACAAAAACGCATCAATTCGCTACAGGAGGCCTTTGTTCACCCCCCGGAGCCGTGTGAGACACTTTTTTTTGTGGAAGGGTGCTTTTTATTTCACGTCATTTGAACTGAAGGAATGCAACACCCGCTGAGTACAACGATAGAGCTTGAAAGATCAAAGACAATTTTTAATATAACTCCGACTGGATTCGTCTGAAAGAAGAAAGTCATATACACCTAGGATGCATCGGGGGTGAGTGAAACACAGCCTAATTTTCATTTTTGGCTGAACTAACCCTTTAATGCTTATTTATAAATACATATTGTTCATTCATAATACATTAACTAATGTTAATTTCTACAGCTTGAAAAAAGTTACAAATGTACATTATCATTCATATGTTTGTCGTAAGTAAGATTTTTGAATACTTGAATGTCTACTCAGAAACGCATTAAATGCATTAATTTGACCAGAGGTGACAGTAAAGACATTTATAATGTTACAAAAGATTTGTATTTCAAATTAATGCTGTTCTTTTGAACTTTCTACCCATCAAAGAACCAAAGAAATGCATCATTATTATTTTCAGTACCACAATTGTTTTTATCATTGATAATAATACAAAAATTTTTTCTTGAGGAGCAAATCAGCATATTAGAATGATTACTGAAGGATCATTCATGTGACACTGAATGGCAGCAGTTTTGCCATCACAGGAATAAACTAATGAATGTTAATCAAATAAATGCAACCTTGGTGAACATAAGACATTGGTTTAAAAAAAAAAAAAAAAATTCTTACTGACCCCAAACTTTTGAACAGTAGTGTGCGTTTAAGAAGGAACCCAAACTATATTTAGTTCAATAATATCACAGAGAATGGGTGGGCTTTTCTGAAAAACCACAACTCACAAGACATTAGTGCCAACACCCTGACAACCACCCACAAGAACCTAGAAGTGTGACAGTGAGGTTTGCATGGGCAGCATCCCCTTTCTCAGAAAATTTCATTTAGCATTCACTTGTAACTTAACATTTATGTTAAGTTATTTATAGGAAACCATAGAATGACTCAGTGTAGAAAACGGTTTATGAATCATTTTGAAGTAAAAAGCCAGGTAAGTCATTAGTATCTTAATGTATGCAAATTGTAACATTTAGACATTAGCAGTTGGAGTGCACAGGGGACTGTGTCTAATGAATGACCACAGGAAGGCTTCTTTTACTGTAAATGATTTATAATGTTTTCCTGCTCTCTTTTTCTCTCTCTCTCTGTCTTGTGTGTGGGTTGCCTGGCTTCCTCTCTTTGCCTTGCACACGCTCTTCCTTCCTGACCCTGAAGTTAACCCACTCAGTAAGACTAGACAACACTGTGACTGTGCCCAGAGAAAATCCTGTGTGGCTCAGGCATCATTAAATCACCATCAGCATATACATTGCATTAGATAGTAGACACATGTATATGAGTATTTTTTTTATTTCCAAGATCATCAGTGTTTTAGGTTAAAATATCTCTAATATAACATTATGTACGACACAGTAATGCTTACATATTTATATAAAAAAATGTTGTGTTATGTATTTATACTTTGATAACCAAGGACATTTTTTATTATAAAGGAAATGTTTGTCTGCATAGTTCTGCTATCAGTTTGGCTCTAAACAATAATCAAGCTTGTGACTCATGAGGTATAGTGACCTACATCTCTTATATCCGTTAAACCACTTAACCTTTGGCCCTTCTGTAGTACGGAGGATATTTTACACATCTCTCTGGCTATTGTTGTAGGGGTCAAAGGTAAGGAAGGCATGTTAAGTTTATCTGTCATGCATAAATGCTCAGGCACAAACCACTCTAAACCCTTCAATAATTCATTACTCCTCTATTTGTCCTCAATCAGTCGACAGATAAAAGTTTAATGCAGTTTCCAGCATGTGTTGCACACTAACTGCAGGCTATTTTCCTTTTACAGAACTGGTATAGGGCTTTACTTAACTCAACTGCATACTGACATCTAGTGGAAGAACATTAGAACTACATATATGATTTTAATGCTTTGTATTGCAAATAAGGCTAGTGAAATATTTAAAACAGTGCTTCCCAGCCGGTTTTGGCCTTAGGGCACAACACAGTATCAAACTGGGAACATGTCACTTGCCTGTATAATTTGGCTGCTGTTACCAAGAGACATTTTAATGCAAGAATTTGCATTAAAATACCATAGAGTTTCATTGTGCAGTTGAAATGACATTTGACATCAAAAACTAAACATAGGAATTGAAGATATTTTGACTATTTATTTTGCTGCATTATTGTATGATCAAAGCCTAGATAGCAGCACGTCTAAGGACAGGAGTTGCTTTGGAATATATCTTTTTAATAAAGAATTTTCAGTCTTAAATACTAGCTTCTTTCAGTTAGACATGTTGCTTCTTCATATTGCAGTAAGGCTAAGAGAGTTGAAGAGATGGTGTTTATGATTTATGATATGTGATTTTATGATATTTTCCTGTGTGTTTGTGCATTTATTTATTTTCTTTTAAAGTGTATATGTAGTAAATTAATTGTGTTTATTGTAAATTTGGTGCATGTCCTTACATTGTCTTGAATTTAGTGTACTGTATAAATGTGTGATAAATGTTTAAATAACTGTCTTTGGGGAAACTTTTTTTTTTTTTAATTATTCTACCATTTTGGAGAGAAATGAAAATACACAATAATTTTAACTTCCAAAATTATTGTGCATCCTCGGCTCAGACCAGTTTTCTCTGCTGTCTCTTATTATATCTCATTCTCTCGCTTTTATATAGTTCATTTATTTATGTATGTATTTATTTGTTCTTCTTTGTGTAGCTTGTACCTGTACAAATTGGGAATTGCCCCTCAGATCCAGGACTTGTTGGGGAAAGTAGACTTTACAGGTATGCCACAGTCATTCACAAAAATAAAAAAATTTAGCTCAGGTCCAAAGTACTAGGTCTGCCTGTAACCACAGTACATATTAATACTTTCAATAGTAATTATATTAACAATAAACAAATAGTTTTTTCAAAGGCTAATCCTTAACCTATTACTTCAGTCATAAATATGTGGTATCTGCAATCCATTTGAGATTTGAAGCACATATAGTGGTGCTCCCTTACAATCACAGAACTCAAGCACAGCCATGCAATTATATCCATAACTGAAGTGTAGATCCACCTCTGTCAGCTCAGATCACAGGAGAGAGAAAAGGAGAAAAGTGCCTCAGGTTTTAATGATAGTGAACACTCTGCAGAAACCTAGCTCTTTGGGTTTGATTAATGATCGGATTGTAATGACAGATAATTACTGCTTTAGCTCTGTTCAGAGTGTAACTCTTCAGCTTATTTATTGTGCTGCTGTTAATAAAATATCTCATCAGGAAAACTGAGTTCAAGTCATAATGATGTGGTATGTAGTGAATTAATAATGAAAGTGAAAACACATTGAAGATTAAAGCAAGCTGTTTTTGCAGAAAACGATTTCTGTAGTGGTTTGGTGTTGGGCACACTTGTAAAATGATTTAAAGTAACAAGGCCCTTGTTTTTTTTTTTGACGTGAATAAGTATGGAATATGGATATTATGTTGGTCAATAATTCAATCTGTGTTGATAGTTTGAACTGCAAGACAACCGTTGTTGTTTTTTAAATGCATTACAGTTGCAGATCTTGTATAAAATGCCATAGGTTATACGTTTTGTCCGTAATAACATAAATTAAGATACATGTAAAATATGTAGCCTAATTGATGACACTCTTTCCACAGAGGAAGAAATCAGCAACATGAGGAAAGAACTGGATAAATATGGCATCCAGATGCCCGCCTTCAGCAAGATCGGTGGCATCCTGGCCAATGAGCTTTCAGTAGATGAAGCTGCATGTGAGTGACATTTTTCCTGTTTCTCCTATTCATATGTTTTAATTAAACACACATAATCTTCATTGTCAGGATCACATGTATTTGTTCTCTTTCTGATCTATATCTGTAGTACACGCTGCTGTCTTTGCCATTAACGAGGCCATTGACAAAGGTCATGCAGAGAGTACAATGGTGGCTCTGCAGAACCCCAATGCCTTACTGAGAAACACACAGAAACCACTGGTCCAGGCCTACCAGGACACACTGAGCAAAGCCAAGAGGAAGAAAGAGGATCAGGCTTCGGGACGGGTACACTAGATATTCATATTAAGTTAAAGTTTAGAAAAACCCTTCCATTCAAAGTTTTGTGATTGGTAAGATATTTTATGTAATGTATTCCTGTGATGGCAAAGCAGCATTTTCAGCAGTCATATGGATATTATGCTGCAAGAATGATAATATTTCTGCCTGTCAGAAGTAATGTTTTGCAAAACCAATGCAAACCGCATTTGTATGTGATTTAAAATCTGATTTAAATTGAGTTTTTGAAATTATGCACAGTATGAACAAAGCCTTAAGCCGGGCTCACACTACAGGAGTTTTAAAATCCTAATCGATTATGAAATCTGGTTGCAGCACACACATAATCTTTTCAGATTGTCTTCCCTCAAATATGAAAGATTTGAAAATCCTGGCATATCACACACTACAAGATATTATTAAGATTATCATGCCAGAGGGAGCGCCTCACGTGATCTCACGCAGCAGATCGTCATTGATATTTCAATGATGTTTACATGTTAGCTAGCGTGCTAACACTCACCCGGTACATTCAAAACTGAGGCGATTTTACCCCAGCGCTTCTCTTTCTCCTTATGGTTGTGATACGTTTTCAACACATTAATACAGACAGTCGTGTTACTACAAAATGTCAAGAAGCAATTTCCTCAGTCTCCAACGGAGCCGTACAGCAGCTGTTTTGCGGTCGCGCATTGGCTATTGTGACTGACGTAATCATATAGCCGTCATCTTTTTGCAGCCTCCTTTTAAACAATCTCCAGCATTCATTTACTTGCAAAATCAGCAGGATTTTGATTAAAACATAACAGAATCAGCCTTGCTAGTTAAATGCTGATGCCCTCTAACACTCCTCACACACTCTGCTGACTCCAGTATCACCTGATCCCCTGATGTTGGCTCAGTTGAATAGTCATTTTGTTGTGTGTACACATCTAAGGTTGTGTGAATAGTGTATTACCGCTCAGGGATTTTTTTATTTATTTAATTTTTTAGCCTGGTGTTAAGATCTTTGCTCACAGGCACAATGGTGATAGCTCATGTCTTGCTGGGATCAAACCAATAGCATTCTCATTACTTTCCCTGAGTTTACCCTGTCCTCTACACCACCAAATCTATGATTGTTTTTTTGTTTTTTTAATAAGTCTTGTTAATAAATAAAGTGTGACATACAGCGGCTAAAATAAGTATTGAACACGTCACCATTTTTCTCAGTAAATATATTTCTAAAGGTGCTGTTGACATGACATTTTCACCAGATGTCGGTGATAACCCAAGTAATCCATACATACAAAGAAAACAAAACAAATCATTTCAGTTTGTATGAGTTATGTGTATTAAAATGGAATGACAAAGAGAAAAAGTACTGAACTACTGAAATGTATTTAATACTTTGTACAGAAGCCTTTGTTCTTTCCAAGCCTTTTTGCACCTCCCTTTCTCCATGTGTTCAATACTTTTTCTCTGTGTCATTCCATTGTATTACACATAACTTAATTTCTGAACGTATTTGTTTTGTTTTATTTGTATGTATGGATTACTCGGGTTGTTACTGACATCTGGTGAAAATTTCATGTCAACAGCACCTTTAGAAATATATTTACTGAGAAAAATGGTGGCGTGTTCAATACTTATTTTACCCGCTGTATTGTGTGTGTGTGTTCAGCGCTCGTCTGTTGCAACTGAAGAGAGAGATGTGTATGAAGAATTGCTGACTCAGCAGGAGATTCAGAGCAGTGTAGACCTTGTGAACAGTAAGTGTTTTAATTTGTTTTTTTTTTAAGTTTGAAAAAATTCAAACACATCAAAGGTATGACTTAAAATTTAGGTGGAATATTTAATATATATATATATATTACTTTAGATTAAGGTGAGCATAAGAGACCATGTGGATGCTTTCATGGAAATACATATGTTATAACATATAATATAACATATATATTTTGTAATTTAATGGATAGTTATTTATGGGATGCCCTGCAATTGATGCATACTGTATGGCATAGTATTATATAAATGTTACGTAAAAATCATTTTCTCACTCTAGCATCAGAAGCTATTCAACAGTTAAATCAGGCTCTTGATGCTGAGGATCAGAAAGCCCTACTGGCCAGCCTTAGGTTGCCTGCACTTGGTCTTGTGGGAGTCCTTGATGACAACTCCAGCTTTTACCTGGAGCACTTCACATCCTACAGGGAGCATAAAGTTAAGGTACTAAAGCAGACTTTCCGTATCAGGTAAAATTACTTTTCAGTCAAATGAGTTTGATGAGAATATTTATGACATCCATATGCAGGATGCTGGTGCGGGTGCTCAGCTGGAGAGGGAAGAGATTCAGAGGGTCATCACTTCCTGTAACGAGTTTGCAGAGGCTGAGAAACGAAGTATGTTGCACACATACATGTAGCCTTGACTAGCTGATAAAATAGCCTAGAATATAGTGTATCTGTAGATACTGTATGAAGCTCTGTATTTCATTGTTTCTCATTCAAATCATGACAGGTGAATTTATACATACATTATAATGTAAAATATAATTTTTAAAAAATGTTTTAATGTTTTTAAAGATTTAGTGAACATTAGATAATGGCTGAGGTAAATATTAAAATAGGGAAACTGAGCTTAAATATCCAATATTGACCATTATATAACCAAAGTGGACTGATACAGATCAATTAAAAAACTCTCTAAAAGCAGCTGATCACTAATTTAGCACCAGTTTATATTGTTTGTCTGATACTACTGATTATTGTGCTCTTAATGGACACAGAGCAGGAAGTGGTTGCTGCGATCAATGCAGCTATTCGACGAGGCATTCCAGAAGAGACCGTGGAGGCGCTTCTGAACCCAGAGGCTCAGTTACCCATTGTCTATCACACTGCTGCCAGCCTGTACCAGGCCGAGCTCTTCAGCCTGCAGCTTGGCTGTCAGGTCAGTTTTCTTAACTCTCTTATTCCATGTGTAGCTCTTTTTTGTCCCTACTTACAAAACTAGTTTTCATTTTTTACCATCTCAGAACAAGGCCGGTCTTACTCATGAGGAGCTGTGTGTAGCTGTGGAGATGCTGTCTGCTGTGTCTGTGTTAAATGAGGTGCTGGACACTAAAGACTCTGTGGCCGTCATTGAGCAGCTCAGTGACTCTCCACTGGGCTTCAGTGGTCTGGATGCTGACAATTTACAGAGGTACAGTGATGCTACTGACTGAAAAAGAGAGAGGTGTCACACTATATGGCACACTAAGACGCAATTTAGGAATTTGCTTCATTAAGTGGTTGTTTTGCTTTGTTAGATACGCAGACACACTGATCCGTCTCAGAGCTGAGTCCCTCGCTCAGGGTCAAGAGTTCATCACCTGGAATGATGTTCAGAAATGCATCGACATTGTCAATGTCCAGGTGCATGAGGAACATGAGAGTAAGCAAACTTTGAAATATATTGTACAATATCATTCAAAAGTTTTTGATGAGTACGATTTTTTAAGAGATTAACACTTTTATTTAGCAAGGATGCATTAAATTGCTCAAAAGTGATAGTAAAGACATTAGTAATGTTACAAAAGATTTCTATTTCACAAAAATGCTGTTCTTTTTCTATTCGTCAAGGAATCCTGAAGTAATGTATTACAGTTTACACAAAGTGATTAAAAGGCACAGCTGTTTTTAACATTGATAAGAATAAAAAAGTTTCTTGGACACAAAATCATCATATTGATTTGCATATTGATTTGATTTGATCAGCATATCAGAATGATCAGCAGCAGCATGCTGTTGAAAATTCAGCTTTGTCATCGCGGGAATAAATTACATTTTAAAATATGTGACCCTGGAGCGCAAAACCAGTCTTAAGTTACACGGGGATATTTGTAGCAATAGCCAAAGATACATTGTATGGGTCAAAATTATCGATTTTTCTTTTATGCCAAAAATCATTAGGATATTAAATAAAGATCATGTTCCATGAAGATATTTTGTAAATTTCCTACTGTAAATATATCAAAAATTTATTATCATTAGTAATATGTATTGCTAAAGACTTCCTTTGGACAAATTTAAAGGCGATTTTCTCAGTATTTAGATTTTTTTGCACCCTCAGATTCCAGATTTTCAAATAGTTGTATCTCGGCCAAATATTGTCCTATCATAACAAACCATACATCAATGGAAAGCTTATTTATTCAGCTTTCAGATGATTTATACATCTCAATTAAAAAAAATTTTTTTGACCCTTATGACTGGTTTTGTGGTCCAGGGTCACATAAGAAAATAGAACACAGCTATTTTAAATTGTAATAATATCTTACAATATTACTGTTTTTACTTTATTTTTAATCAAATAAATGTAGCCTTGGTAAACAGAACAGACTTCTTTCAAAAACCCCAAACTTTCGAATAGTAGTGTAAATTTCAAAATGATCACCACACAAGATTGAAAAGGAAGTATTTCAATAGTTTTTTTACCTTTCAAAATGTATTCGGTTTTAATGAATTTATGTAATATAATAAAAACAGACTAAATGGTCTTCTTAGTAATGTGTTTCATAGACTTTTCTTTTACAATGAACATTTTAAGATGATTAAATTCTACCATACAAAGAATGTCTGTTTTATAGAAAGTTACTCCGTAATGTGTATGAATTGAACTTCATTTATCCAATGTACTGAAATCTCACAAAAAAAGTTTTATTGAACATTTAAAGATTCTCATAAGTAAACATTTAGGCTTTGATCAGCATTCAACTATAATATAAAACATTATACATGATCTTGAAACAACATGTTAATGTGTAAACAACAAATTTAGGACCTTTTTGTCTTTTTCTTAATCATTGACAATATTCCATTGAATATTCCAGTTGTTGAGCACATAAAATTCCCATGTTCCCTGTGTAGGAGTCATCGCTATCGCTGAGATCAACGAAGCCCTAAATTCTGGAGATCCAGAGAAGACACTTGCCGCCCTCCTACTCCCTACAGCTAAACTACAGGGAGTCAATCCAGCCAACGCCAAACACTATCACAATCTACTGCTGTCCACCAAAGACCTCATCTGCAAGGTGAAACAGAATAACAGTGCTGAACCAATGAAATGTCTAAAGCCCCGTTCACACCAAGAACGATAACTATAAAGATAACTATAAAGATAACAATATTAGCGTCCACACCAGCGAACAATATCGTTTGTTTATTCTAAGCGCACGCGCGTCTGCCGCTTTAAATGTTATCGTCCTTGGTGTGAACGGGCCTTAAGAGGTTACATCTGTTATTTCAGATACTCTTTTCTTATACAAATGATCTGGACACTTTTTACTCAACACTCAACTTTCCTGGTCTCAAAGATTTTGTATTCAGCTTGACTTAGTTTCATGTTTTCACTTGAGTGTAAGTGTCCAACTCCTGATCAAGTCAGGAGCCTCTTCTAAAGTAAAAAGTGGGAAGTCCAACCACAACATCCTCAACCCACTGTTAAGCCATTTTAGATAAGGAAGTCCCCCTCGCAGGCCACAAAACAAACATCCTGGTATTTAAAAGGACTCAACTCATGGACAAAGCCATCGAAGGTCTAGAGCTAAAGGATCTAAAGTTGACTTGGGAAGTGGAAGTCTTTGTGAGGAGATATGAGAGGAAGGGGTCCAGACAGCTGTGGAAAGAACACAGACATACGGCTGCTTTGTAGTAATAATACAAGTCATACTGCTGCTGAGTGTACAGCTTTACATAGTGTGCAAAAAGAAGTGCATTACATGGGGCAAAGCACACTAAAAAGATCCCAAATACCAACGTACTGGCCTTCATGTAGTGTTTCCAGTCATGACTGGAACGATTTAGATGGTAAATGATGGATCCGTAAACGAATGTGATGACTAGTGATGGCAGGATGAACCCCAGGCAGATCAGACTCAGTCTGCATGGAATCAAAGCTCGGTTGAAAGCTTTTTCATAGGACTGGATATCATGACACGTCACCATCTTTTGTTCAAGAACTTGGTAGCTTTGCTGAATCATAAACTCAGGTAGCATTGCAATAGCAAAAACCATCCAAATGGATAAACTGGTGCAGATCGCATAGTACTTTTTTGACATTGTCCTGTAGAGGAACGGGTGGACCACCGCAAGGTAGCGCATCACACTAATACACATGTGGGCATGGATCGAGCAGTAGATGTTCCCATAAAAGCAGGCAATCACCACCTTGCAGGCGAGCTCTCCAAAGATCCAGTCATTGTTTTTGAGGTGATAGTGGACTCTGAGTGTGAGGGAAAGTAGCAAGAGGAGGTCTGAAACTGCTAGGCTAAAATATAGGATACCACTGGAAAGATTCTTTCTTCCGCTGAGGCAGGTTAACACAAAGACATTAGAGGGGATCCCGATGAGGATGGCTAGGATGTACGCGGATGGAATGATCCTAGTGCTGACAATTCCAGTGGTGTGATCGATGACATTGGCACTGACGTTTATCACAGGCACCTGGAAGGATGAGTTAAAGACTATTGTTCCAGGATATGTTTTTGGGTGAGGTGGCTTGTTTGGAAAAATGATTCTGGAATCTTTTGATACTAAAAAGAAAGATTAGAAAACAATGTTAAAAGACTGTTATACAGGGTGTTCTTAGTAATTACATTTCACACAGATTTATACTGAAAATGTGGTTACATTTAAACTGAAGTGAATATAATTCTACAGAAAATTTTAGATTGGATAATAATTAATAGCTGACATGGCTTCAAGTTTTAGTCAATTTGTGTAGTCAATAATAAGAACATTACACATTCAATGCTAATGCATACATATTTTTGTTACTTTATTGTCTAGAAAAATCTGGAAAACACTGAATTGACTTTGAAATTTAAAGTGACCAAAGACATTAAAACCAGTTGAACAGACAGTTGTTGTTCAGTTTTAGTTTTTAATATTATAGGCACAGATGTTCCAGATTTACCACGGGTTAGTTCTCGCCACAGTTTTAAAAAATGCTAAAAAAGTGGGCGTGGTGCACTGCGAGCGGAGGGGGAAGAGGGGAGACAGACAACACACACACAGCTTCAAGTTCAGACAGTTTCATTTCGCTCCCATCGAGTTAAAAACACAAATAAATGCACAGCCATTTGCACTCTGTATCGAAAACATACATGAACGTGCCGAACTCTTATTAAAAAAGCAAAAACAAACAAACTCCTTCGATTGAAAAATGGTGACGTGTTCAATACTTATTTTACCCGCTGTATGCATTCACGCCTCTTTTTTGGTCTGTTTTGACTAAACCACGTCTTCCCTATTACTGTGGGAACGTTCCTAAAGTAGGGAAAAGTAATAGACCAAATACTGTACTATATTTCTGTCTCATAAAGGAAAGCAAATCTGTGTTCATGTTTTATTACATTGTTCATCAGTGTTCATACTGTATATTATTCAAAATCTTAAGTTAAACCTTTGCTTAACATTTGACATCTGTATTGAGATGCTATTTATATGACTGCTGTGAAAAGACTTGCTGTTCAACAAAAACAAGGCATTTTCCAAAGAGATTTAACCAGTGATAGTTGCACAGAATGTCTCCCACCTTTACTTGATTTGGTTGATTAGATTTAGAGTAATTTGGTCTGTAGTAGCAGATGATTTGTTTGCCCTGTGACAGTGTATTCAGTTACACTTGTTTGTATGGAGCATGTGCTGACTGTGTGTTGTGCTGTAACAGAGCTCTGGAGATGAATCTGCTGTGCTGTGGCTGGACCAGATCCAGGAGGCCGTGCACACTGCCAACCGGGACCAGGAGGACGCACTCAAATGTAAGTGTGCAACCAAATATAAGCTGCATGAAAGCTGTAGGATTAGCTTTTCTGTTCAGTCTATTCATTTCTTATACACATCCCTATAAAGGATGTGCATTAATACATATGATCCACATAATTACCTATGACCTTTCAAGTCTATTAAGTTTAATATTTAAACTCTGTTGTACAATACTTATAGACTACAGTAAAAATATGTAAACTTTTTTTAAATTTTATACATGTAATCTGTATAACATTTACACAAATTAAAATATAGTCTTAGGAAGAACTGTGACTTTACCCATTCTCAATGATTACAAAAGTAAAGCCTAACATTTGAAATAATAGTCATAAAATCTTTTTTTTTTTAAATGGAACAGTTTAATGACCCTTTAGACAAAATTTTTTAAAAATGTATAAAAAAGGTTGCATGCAGTATGTGTTTTTGTTGAGTAGCATCTTTGATATGCAAGGCATTTATGGCTTATTTAGTATGATATAAAAGAATATGGTGCTCATTCTCAAGGAGGAAATAAACGTTTACATTTTATTCAGAGGCCTGAAATTAGGTGCAGTTGCTGATATTTACATGACCAAAAAATAAGGTGAAATTCTCATAGCTTGTGATGTAAATCAATGAGATTTTTAAAACACTATATCAGACTACTTACATCGGTTCATATATAAATATCAGTTGTCACTTTGTTATCTTAAAATAATGCCTTAGTTACATGATATTTAAATGCTTAGTTTTATGAAGCTCTGCAGTTTTTATTGAGAGGGGCAAAACATGGTATGTTATACCATATTTGATACATTTTAACATGGTTTGAGGATGTATAGTTAATCAAATAAACCTAAGTTACCTCAGTCAGTCCAGTAAGTGTTTATCTTGAAACATTACTACTAAGAAAATAAAACGAATTCTTACGTTTGTGTGAATGATGTCAGTGGCTGAGGCAGTAGCAGACATTAACAGGGCAGTATCTGAGGGAGATGCTAAGGCCACACTAGCTGCTCTGCAGTGTCCTGATGCAGGTCTTCGAGCGGTGCTGTCTGAATGTGCTCATGTCTACCACAGCCAGCTCGCTCACTTACAGAGCACTCAAACAGAACAAGGTAACTCTATCTCACCCCTGATGACTGCGATCTGGAAGGTCTAGCTTTAATCTGAACATTAACTTATCTGCCTTACTCTTTTAGGCTGGAGAATTTCTTTTCATGCTGTTAGAAAATATTATTGATAAATTATAGAATTTATTATATATTTAGCAGCATATTGTGTATGGTACAGTAGTGTATTCTTGTATATTTTTTCATTACCATTAACAATCCTAATAGTGTAAAATTTGTACAAATTTGCCAGTTTAATTTGATAAATTGTTAAATAATAGTTGTAAATAGTCCTATCACCTAAAACATTTACTGATTCATTTGATTTCAGACAGAGACAAATACACATGTCTAGAGCTCCTGTGAAGAATAACTTATTTATGAAGAATTGCATTCACATTGCATTACATTTTTTTGTAGGAACTAGTGGCAGTTTATGGATGAAACACAAGATCAAGGATAAATATGACTACTTCTACAACATTGAAAGCAAGGAAGGGACATGGGTTGAGCCAGATCATTTTGTCCATGACAGTTCACAGCTCACCAAAGAAGATATTCAGGTAGGTCTTCAGGACAGATATACATTTACAGTTTTTAGTGTTGAATTAAAGTATTTAAGCTCTGTTGTTCATGTTTTCTTTCCCCTAACTAGAGTGTTTTGAGCAGTGTAACAGCAGAGTATAACAGAGAGCAGCTGTGGTTGGCCAATGAGGCGCTCATCATCCAGCTTCATGCCCTGATTCGTGGATACCTGGTGAGGCGGGCACATAATGACAGGTTGAAGTACCTACGAAAGCAAGAGCTGAGTGTCATCAAACTGCAGGTGCTTAACTGTTTAATGTAAAGTATTGATACTTAACTTGATTACTTGTATGCCAGGCCACTAACCTAATATGACTCAACATTTTTTAATTGTTTAGCATAAAAAAAGTTACATTATTATTTTATAATATTATTTCTGTTATTTTTAAGTTCGGATTGTTTATTAAAGAAAACAATTATAGTGAGTAGTTTCATAGTTTTTGTAATATGACATTTACACATCAAAAGCATGTAAATCTAAATGATTAACTCTTCTGTTAACTCCTCAAATAAAAATCCTCCAGACAATAAAATTAGCAATAGCAACGAAATATCAACATTATACAAAGAAAGTATTACAAAAAAGGGTTTAGTAACCGTATTGGCTATAAATTCTAGAGTTGTATTGTTTTCTTTACAGCTCAGTTCAAAAGAAAATAAACTACCAATATTCTCTAAGAACAAATATGTGATGTGGTCTATTTCACATGGGGTTTGGTTTATGATTACAGGCATCCTGGAAGGGCTACAAACAGAGAAGAGTCTATAAGGACAGACTAAAGACCTTCCAAGACAGTGTGAGCAGTGCGATTAAGGTAACGGTCCTATCGCTGATGCTCATTTATTACAGTATTTCATCATATTTTTCCTTGTTGCTTTGAAGTGCAGTATTCATAATATGAAAACTTGTTTCCTCTGTAATTTAGTTACAGTCACTGGTGAAGATGTGGAAAGCTAAACGGAGCTACACAAGGAGACTGAAGTACTTCAAAGACCATGTAAGTCACACACAAGCACTGATGTGAACGAGCAGCTTCTTTATCAGTTATACTCATGAAAATGGCATATTCTGTGTGTCATGCTCAGGAGAAAGAAATAGTGAAGATTCAAGCTTACCTTAAGGCTAACAAAGCAAGAGTTGACTACAGAACCTTGAGTAAGTCAATAACATTTTATTTAATATGTTAATTAATTTACATTTACTTGCATAGACAGTTGATTGGTTTGTAAGGTAAAGATGAATGTGTTTTTCTGTTTTTCAAACAGCCGGTTCTCAGCACCCCCCTCTCTCAGTGGTCCGTAAATTTGTACATTTGCTGGAACAAAGCAGCCTCGATTTACAGGAGGAACAGGAAGTGACACGGCTCAGAGAGGAAGTTGTCACCAAGATTCGTTCTAATCAGCAAATGGAAAAGGATCTGAATTTGATGGATATTAAAATTGGCCTGTTAGTAAAAAACAGGATCACACTACAGGTTAGATGCAGTTTGCTTTCAGTGCTTTCATGCGGTGATTTTAAATGATCCTTAAAGCTTAACAATCTCTTTGAATTGCTTGTTGGATATATTTGAATGAGATTGAGATACATTATCCTTTGATGTGCATAGGTTTCTGTTTTCCCATGATGTGAAGTGCTACTGCAAGCAAATACACATCACTGAGAGAAAACAACAACAACAGCATATTTGTATTCTTAGGAGTCTCATGAGAGTAGAAGCAGCTACAGATGTCCAAACCAGTCGAGTATGAACCCTTGACCCATTCTAATTTTTCCATCTACTGCTATGTTGTCTCCTCTGGTAGGATGTGGTGTCACACAGCAAAAAGATGAAGAGCAAAAAGAACAAAATGAGCAAAGAAGATCTGGCCATGGGGGAAAAGCAGGGCATCAAGGGTCTGAGCAAAGAGAAGAGGAAGAAACTGGAGGCCTATCAGCATCTTTTCTACCTTCTACAAGTGAGATAAGGAACTTTGGCACGAATTTAGTTATTTTAAATCATTTAAGAAATAGTATAGAGAATAGAATAGAATGCTGCATCGCTTGGAGCTGACCAAAGGCTTTAATGGAATATTCCAATAAAATTTTGCACCGATTGCCACAGGAAATTATTTTACTTGTTCATTAAAAAAAAAAAAAAACAGCATTAAAAAATTATTAATATAATAAACTATTTCTAAATGATTTATTTGTAATATATATATATAATTAAAAAATATTTTATACATTTACGGAATGTATAAAACTCATAAATACTGTATAAATACCTTTTTAATCAATGAGTTTTCTTCATTTAACAGACCAATCCTTCATACCTGGCCAAGCTAATCTTCCAGATGCCCCAGAACAAATCCACCAAGTTCATGGACACTGTGATCTTCACGTTGTATAACTATGCATCAAACCAGCGGGAAGAGTACTTGCTGCTCAAGCTTTTTGAGTCAGCCTTGCGAGAAGAGATCAAGTAAGATATATCTTAGATATACTAATCATTTCTATCTTAAAGATTATATTTTAAGGATAGAGATACTGTTTGTTAGCTCGAGCATTCAAAAACAGCACTGTTTTGGAGAGACCAATATACCTCTGAATTCATAATTAATGCATCAAACATCAGTCAAATGTCTGTGATACAATATATCTTTATAATATTGAGTATGGCAAATATCAATGTTACTCTGCTGTCATCTGTGGTAGATCTAAGGTGGATCATATCCAGGAAATAGTGACAGGGAACCCTACAGTCATTAAGATGGTTTTGAGCTTTTACCGTGGTGCTCGCGGGCAGAACGCTCTCAGACAGCTTCTAGGCCCTGTGGTGAAAGAGATCATCGAGGACAAGAACCTGGGCATCAACACTAACCCTGTAGACATCTACAAGGCCTGGGTTAATCAGCTAGAGACCGCTACGGGAGAAGCCAGGTTTAAACCTGCACACACCATCCATCTGCATATTTTCTCATCTTCTACATATACGCTTTCATTTTGGAGTCAGTCCAAAACAAGATACATTTTCAACACATAGCATTGTGTAATATTTTGCTCATGCATTACAGTCATCTCATTATTTTAAGGTATGGCCAGATTTTTTTTTCTGCTGCTGATCTGATTTTTACTTTTGCATCATTTGATCTGTTTTCTTTTGCATGCAGTTACGGCATGAGATATATTGCTAAAGTTCTAAACGACACGCTTCATAAGAAATTCCCTGACGCCACAGAGGATGAATTATTAAAGGTCAGATGTTAAAAATTTCAGTGGTACCCCTGTATCCATACAAATGTTTAGTTTAAAATAGGTATTCACTAGGCCTGTCTGCAAAACTCTTTTCATACTTGAAATGAGGCTGTAATTGCTTAACGCACCAAACCACAACTGCTTAAAGATTTAACATCTTAAGAACCCAGGAAAATATTGGTTCACATGAAATAAGTGCTGTCTGAATGGTGCCATCTTTTTCCCACAGATTGTTGGGACTCTGCTCTATTACCGTTACATGAATCCTGCCATTGTGGCTCCAGATGGCTTTGACATCATTGACATGACGGCCGGAGGACAGGTGCATTCGGAGCAGAGGAGGAACCTGGCATCAGTGGCTAAGATGCTACAGCATGCTGCTGCTAACAAGCTGTTTGAGGACGAGAGCGACCACCTCACCCTTATGAACAGCTACATCTCCCAGACCTACCAAAGGTTCAGGTGAGGAGAACAGAGCACTTCATCAGTGTGAGGTTTGTCCAGAGTCACAAACAATAAATATTATTCCTGCTGGGAAGAATCCAAAACTTATAGGAATAGTTCACCCATAAATGACAATTAACCGCAACATGAAAATTTGATACCGGCATATCCCTATTTGTAAATAGAATGTTCCATTGAGTCTGCTTATTTAATTACCTAATAAAGCATGTCAAAATTATTTAGGAAAATAAGATTTTCTTATCTAAGTGATAAAATGTTGCATTGCAAAAATGAGTACACCTCCAATTAGATCCAATTTTGGATCAACAGGTGAGTATGTTGAACCAAAGAAACAATTTCTTGACAATTATAAGTGTTACATAGCCCACTGAATCATTCTCAGACTTAATGTTGACAACAATGGAATCACATAGGAGAGAACTATCAGGAGATGTATTTCATTGCTCAAAAGAGGACAGCGGTACAAGAATCACATCCAAATCATTGTTTTAAGTGTGAAAATATAGCAGAGAGAAATAAAATAAAAAATGGACTTGTGACAAGGTCCCTGAAATAATCAGGCCTGTACTGTATTTTAAGCTTTCATTTCATGAGAAGGAGCAGGAGCAATACCAAGCAAGTGTCTCAGAGCTGACAAAAGTGACTATTGCATCTCACACAGTGAGAATCAACATGCAGAAGTGAATTGCATGGTTATTTATCCACACTGGATCTACATACTGTAGCCAAAGCAACATAAACTCATTTAGCCTTTTCCAAGGCCCATATTTACAAAATATAGACTTCTGGGAAGTCAGTCATAAATAAGCTTTCCACTGATGTATGGTTTGTTAAGACAGGACAATATTTGGCCGAGATACAACTATTTGAAAATCTGGAATCTGAGGGTGCAAAAAAATCTAAATATTGAGAAAATCGCCTTTAAAGTGCTTAGCAATGCATATTAATAATCAAAAATTAAGTTTTTATATATTTACGGTAGGAAATTTACAAAATATCTTCATGGAACATGATCTTTACTTAATATCCTAATGATTTTTGGCATAAAAGAAAAATCGATAATTTTGACCCATACAATGTATTGTTGGCTATTGCTACAAATATACCCGTGCTATAATGACTGGTTTTGTGCTCCAGGGTCACAAATAGGATTGAATGGGTGCTGAAGGTGTGGGGCAGTTGTTGTTTATCAATGGTGTCATGAATTCATACAACTTCATGTAATAAAATAACTTGAAACTACTCTCTCATTATAATAATACTTATTTTTAACTATTACTAATTTTAAGCATTAACATTTTATGTAGAAACTGATGAGTAGAACAAAAGATTTGAAACAATCACAGATCTGAGGGTCAGGGCAGGCTGAGGATATATGGAATTGGAGGTGAAAGGTGGGGAAGTGTTTTTGTGTAAAAGTAAGGCATCAGCAGAAAGGAGGGACATGTGTTCCCACTTCAGACACATTAATGTGTGTGTGTGAGGAGGCTGGAAGTGCTAAATGACCTTTTGCCCAAAGCCCCTCATTCCCATGCTGGTGAATCATGCTTACTGGAAACTCCCCGTTTTTTTCCCCCTCAGATTCTCAGCAACTCTGCCTGATTACACGTCAGTGATAGACCTGGTAGTTTACACTTGAGCTGGATTACTGCAGTTTAGCATGTGACCTTCTCATTCAGGTCTACTTGGCATTATACATTTGTTTTTATCTTGTTTTATTATTTTGTTGGTTGTGCAAAATTCGGTAGAAAGCTCAACAGATTTCTCGAAATTTGAATAGCTGACATTCACAAAATTCCTCACTCCCATGTCTTTTTGCCTAATTTCATGTGTTTTTGGTTACTCATTTTACCATTTTGATATTAATTCTGAAGAAAGAAATAGAAAGAAATCCACAGATTTAATCTTTTCTTTTTTTGACTTTCAGGGGCTTCTTCCAGGCAGCTTGTGACGTTCCAGCTCCGGAGGAGAAGTTTAACGTGGACGAGTACTCTGACATGGTGACACTCAGCAAACCCATCATCTACATCTCTATTGAGGAGATTATCAACACACACTCTGTAAGACATACAACTTAACATGCAACTGAGAATTACATACAGAGATACAGTTATAATGCTTAGATTACAAGGGGAAAAAATGAAACATGCACAGATGAATTGTGCACAGTAAGATTTATAATATGCATAAGGAAAATTTTTATTTCGTGCCAAATTCAGTAGAAGTGATGACCTTTTCTTTTATCTTATTTCTGGGCTGTTCATATGAAAGAGAATCCAGTTTAGATGTGTCTTGTCAAAACGTGTGGTTTCAGCATTTACTGTTGGGCCTTGATCTGGAATGTGAAGTCAAATGCTTTTTTTAGACCTGCAACTCATTGTGATTAAGTTTCATTAGCCACCTATGAGTCATGAGTGGAGTCTTCTTGAGGAGCGGCTTAACTTGATCCATATGTGTGAGGACGTGACATCATGACCTGTGCAGACATAATAGAGTCTCCAAACTTTTCCCCTCTCAGTCTAGTCTCTACACTCTTTCAGTTGAAAAAAACAGACGGACATTTCATTTCGGGATGTTTCTCATTATGCAGCACATAGACAAACAGATGCGATGTCAATTTTAAGCAGTATGGCTGTAATGTACTGTATATTATGTTGAATGAGTGATACAGTATTTTATGATTTGAAAATATATTTAGAAGTTGTACATGGAAGAAATTGGTGTCCAAATATTCCCCTTAAATCCAACTGTATTGCCTCCTAATGTTGGGTGCCGTTTTGTTTTCTCTGCCAAATTTTAGAACAATGAGATGTATTGGAAACAAATAAGTCATCATCTTATGTTGCCAATTACAAATATCAGAAAATGAATCATACACACGAAGACAGGGGGCGTCTAAGTTATTTACTTTACATTTTACATTTATGTATTTACAATATGTTTTTATTCAAAGTGACTTAGATTGCACTTCAAGACATACATGTTTTTCATGCATTGCCTGGGAATCGAACATATGAATTTGGCATTGCTAGCACAATGCTCTACTCTTTGAGCTGCAGCAAAGTAACTTTATCTATAAAATGATATTACATCAGACTTAACATATATCATACTTAACGGTACATGTACAGTATTAGAACAATTTCATAGAATCTTCTGGGTTTTGCTGTGAATGTAACATGGTACTCAGTTAGTAGTAATAACAATTGCAATAGGAATGTATCTTGATCCAAGCTGTGTGATGTTAAGTATTATTGTTTTGTAGTCTGTACAGACTGCTTGTAGCTGGAATACTTAAATTGGCTTTTTTTCTTCTAGTTGGTGTTGGAACATAAGGAAGCTATTGCTCCAGATCACAGTGATCTTCTGCATGAACTCCTGAAGAACTTGGGGGAAGTTCCTGACGTCGAGTCACTACTTGGTAAAATTATAACAAATACAAACAAATAATTTCATTCGTTCACTCAGAGCAGCTTTCAAACACCAGCAGTTTATTCACCTAGAGGAAGTGAAGACTGCAGCGGTGTTGCCTTTGGCAAAAGAGTCCAGATGAATATGCCCTCACTGACAGCTGATTAAAAGAAAAGGACAGTAAACCACTGTCAGAAAAATACTGAATGTGAAACTCTGACACCCAGGTGAAGGAGCTTTGGATGCAGATGACCCCAGCAAGGAGAACTCACTGAGTCAACTGGCCAAAACAGAGGTCTCCCTTACCCTCACCAACAAGTTTGAGCTGCTGGAAGGAGATGACAAAGACATGAAGGGACTGATGATGAAGTAAGTGAGCAAGTAATCATCACTTCTTTCAACTGCCTTAATGCGTAAAATGTCCTAACATACAGTAATACATATCTCTTTGCCCACACTCAACTTTTCTTCACTGTCTTCATTTCCTGTCTTCATATCTCTCCTGACCCATAGGAGGAAATGGTTTGGTGTCCCGTTTTATCTTTTCCAGTTCTAAAATGGGCCTTTTTTGACCAGCTTGTGTAATTAGAATTGTTGAGTATAGGCTTGTTCACACTAAGACGAATGTTCAGTGCAAAAATTTGATGCGATAAACATTTTCATTTAAATGAACAGCTGGTAATAAAAGACAAACTTTCGCATGCCGTTAATGCAACAGAGTTGTTTTACATAGAGGTATTCTAATTTCTTTTTCATCACAATGCAAAGAAAACTGCCCAACCAGAAGCATGATTTTGGTCATATGGTGTAAAGAGGCCTTAAGGACGGAGGTCATCACGTACTTGAAATGTAATACTCTAAGGAAACATTTGTCGACTATCATTTGCTGGCCAGTATTGTCCTAGCACTTGTGTCCTGACCTCTAGCTTTCTAGTCTATCTTTGGGAAGGAAGCAGGAACACTGACGTCACTGCTCATTGTCTATATGTTTACATCTGCTCCATTTCCACTCAGAAAAAAACACAGCATCTGTGAAGCCCCAGTGACCCAGATGTGTATGATCTTCTGTTTACAGACTGTATGAATATCAATTACTGTAACCAGCCAGTTTGTTTATATGCAGTTTGAGACAAACCACAAATTAGTCTGCACTTCTTTACAGGCATTTTTGTATGCTTACACTACCAGACAAAACTGTTCCAAACCTGCATAACATTCTTTTTCTTTCTTTCTTCCTTCCTTCTGTGGAACATACATAAAACAAAATATTTTGAAGAATGCTCTAGTCCAAAGAATTTAAAATGTCAATTAGCTCCAAAACAACATTGGAGCTCATTGACTGACTGTATAGACAAAAATGACAAGCATACAATTAGTTAAATTCAGTCCAGACATTTGTAAGTTGGGATATTTCACCCAAAATGAAAAAATTCTGTCATCGTTTTGTCCTTTATGTCACCAGCATATGGCAGTCTTGATCAAATCTCAATTGTGAGTGCCCGTGAAGTAGTCTTGCATTGCATTATCTGCTGGACAATGTCAGCCTGTATCTTAACAGATGAGACAACGCACAACATGAGGCACTCTGATATTCCTGACTAGGACATCCTTCTCTTTGTTTGCCTGTCACTTTGCAGAACAAAGAAACTGATAGTGGATGTTGTGAGAATTCAAGCAGGGGAAACACTCATTGATATCCTAGAAACTCCTGCCTCTGCTGCACAGGTATAGTAGGCTCTTGAATTAATGATAAAGACTGAACAGAGGTCAGTCTTCCAACAGATTGAAATGAAATGGATTCGCCTCAATCAACCGTCTCTCTCTCTCTCTGGTGCTGTAGGAGGCAGAGCACGCTAAGCTAGTAGAGCGACAGGTGGTGCAGGACTCTCAGACTCCAGAGGGGCTGAAGAGCAGCAAGGCCATGCTGGAGGACTGCCAGCTGCCTCTGGAGCAGAAGAAGAGAAAGATCCTCAGGAACCTGAGAACTCTGGAGCAGGCTGGTCTGGTCAGCTCAAAACACAAGTACCAGGAAGTCATCAATGACATCTCCAAGGTCAGGCCTTATTGACCTCAGAACTGTTTGAAAAGACGTTGGGGCTTGTTGAAAAGTGTTAATTGTCTATTGGACAAATGTAGTTATAATGATTGCTTCTGTATTAAATCATACCATGACCTTGTCGCTTGAGGACTGCAGGGTACCATAAACACCTTCCATTAGTTCATGTCTGTTAGTCTGACTGTGTTTTTACAATATAATATTTGTAATAACAAAAATGTTTTATTTGGCAGGACATTCGATACCAGCGGCGCTACAGGCAGAGGAGGAAAGCAGAGTTGGTGAAGCTGCAGCAGACTCTGACTGCGCTCAACTCAAAGGCAGCTTTCTATCAGGAACAGATCAATTACTATGACACATACATCAAAACCTGTCTGGATAACCTCAACAGAAAGTGAGTGGAGATACATATGAAGTTCTCGTACAAATGCACTCATGATTATGGGCCTACTGTATATGTGCCTCTTAATAATCAAAAAAATATCTATAAACAAATTTAAAGGCAGGGTAGGTGATTCGATTCAAAACCATTTTTTGTTATGCTGGTTGAAAGTCTCTCACATCCCGATATCAATCACTAAGTTAAGTGGCCTACATTTATTTATATGTAATTATATTGTCTGTGGAAGGCGTAGGACCATAAAATGTTTGTCCAATCAAAATGTTCGGTTCGATGCCTGCCTGCCTGTCAAAATATGTATTTGCATACCTCTGCGCAGCCTGTTTGCGCAGACATGATACGTCATCAGCGCATTCCAGCAAGAATGAAAGGCGTTATTATTGTAATATCATGTGCTATCATGCTTTGTACTGTAATGTTTTCTCACGGGTGAATGAGACATGAGGTAATCTGACAGCGTTGCATTCAATCCTCCACCAACGCCGTCTCTCATCATGTCTCTGGTCTGCCTGAGCCACTGAGCGTGTTTGTGTGTTTTGGGAGGAGGCGTGGCTTTGCAAAGTGGTCATGCAGGGAGGGTGTGGATCTTGCTTTCAAAGCTAACTTGCTATCGCTAGCCTTTCCGAAATCGCCTACCCTACCTTTAAAGTCCCCATGAAATCAAAATTAAAGTGTTTTGGGTGCTAGTATCAATATGTTAGTCTTAAGGTTATCTATAAGGCAGTGTGCTCCAAAACAGTGACAAAATTCGCATTTAGAAGATATAAGCATTCAAAGCTTGTAGTTCGTCACTTCCGCCAACACGGCTCAACGATTTTTTTGACGTCACATCGTACTTCAGCTTCTCATGGCACGTAGTGCACTATATAGTGGACAGGGAACGATTCAAACAGTGTAAATATGCTTTCCATTGAGGAAAAAAAGAAGTCTGGTTTCGCGCTGTGTCACGCTAACTACCGCACCGCACACACACTCTGCTCCGGTCTAGAGACACGATAGCACGGAGCGGATCACATGCGCGAGTCGGCGCAGACCACAAAATGTATCGGAGCTATTTGAATTCTACACAGAATGCTATATTTTATAGCAATATGGATGAGATTGTGGCTGGCATACCCTGTCAAATGCGGCTTTACGGAGCTCAACGGCTCTGAACGGTTCTAGCCCAAGCTGTGATATAAACTAACGCTATTGACTATTTTAAAAAGGGGCGGGGCTGCTTGATATGTCCCGCCCTGTCTTCCTGTTTCAGTTAAAATGACGTCAACACAGAGTAACGCTGCGTGTTTCTAAGCATTTCTGGGGACCTTTAAGGGATCGATAAATAAAACAGCAAACTGTTATTAAAGTAATATATTCAAGTAATACATTCTAAATACAAAAGAAAATACAAAAAAATAATACTAAACCTGAAAATTATTATTTTCAATATGATCATGATAACCTTCTTATTGATTTTCTGCTGATCTGAGGTACAGCACATCTGATGTCAATATCAATTTGTTCATTTATCAATGTAATAATTAGATTATTATTTAATTGCTAATTTATTTTATTTAACCTCACGGCTAACTTTTATCAGTTTGTCTGTTTATCCTCATGTTTAGACATTAATTTTCTCATTTGATATATTGATATTTAATGATTAGTGATTGCCACAATTGAGCCCTGATACACAATGGCTTGAAGGGAAATTGGAAAGTGTCTACTGTCATTTCCTATAAGACATATAATATTTTATTGATGGTTGTTTTGCAATCAGGAATTCACGAAGGTCCATTAAACTGGACAGAAAGGAAGAGAAGAGCAGTAAGAAGGCCTCAAGGCCTCCCAAGGCCTCGTCTCTGAAGTACACAGCTGCCAAACTGCATGAGAAAGGAGTCATTCTGGAGATTGAAGGCCTCCAGACTAATCAGTATGTTTTTCCTCTTTGCACCATTACTTTTCATTCTATTAATAATTAATATTTGTATTCATAATTAGTAACTTCACATTGAATATCAAATACATAATATCTAAACTGAACTTTCTAATATCTAAAGTTAACCATCCTGTTCTGCTCTTCCTCATGCAGTCCAAAGTGGAGTTTAGCCAACTATTTTTGCAATCTCTTAAGGCAGATCAAAAGAATATTAAAAATGTTATCTTTTAGTGATCACTGATCAGTGATTTAGTCGTTTAATTTGTTGTCAATCTCAAGAATGTTATGTTTATATTTCTTTTTGACCAGGCAGGCGCTACCAGTCATTTTGCAACACTGAAATTATTTGCACTGTAAGATGTTCAGTATTAAGCTCCACCTATTCCAGTACTTCAGTCAGTGTTTTGTACATTTCAGGTTAAAAAATGTCATGTTCGACATTTGCCCTTGTGAGGAAGTGGGGGACTTTGAGATAAAGGCCAAGTTTATGGGAGTTGAGATGGAGAAGGTGCAACTGCATTTCCAGGTCAGTTCCCAGGTGCACAGAGCCACATGCAGGATATTAGTTGTATTATGTGGAACTGCATTTATGGACGCACCAAGACAGAACTGTTTTTCACCTCTTGTGTGTTTTTTTATTATTATTATCAGGACCTGTTGCAGCTCCAGTATGAAGGAGTAGCTGTCATGAAAATGTTCGACAAGGCCAAAGTCAATGTCAATCTACTGATCTTCCTTTTGAACAAAAAGTTCTACGGAAAATGAACATCCCTTGGAGTTAATTCAGTGAAAATATGTTCAGTGAAAAATATTAACTAGCTATCAGAGTCTCATTTTAGATGTTAGTTTACACAAATTGTACAAAAAGAACAGATTGTGCCTTTGGTTTTTAGATGTTTTTGTAAAAGAAATTTCTCTGAGCATTCAGGGTATTTGTGCAACTGTGTTTGCAGGTCTTCTGTATTTAATTAACTATACAGTGAGATCTTACCATTCTAAGAATTATTCTAAGAATTCAGCAAAGCTGTACATACAAAGCTTACATTTGAAAGGAAATGTAATCAAACCACAATCAAAACAACAAATTACTTCTGTTTTTTTGTTTAGTTTTTTTGGAAAATTGTGTATGGATTATATTTTTCAATACAAGTGTAATTGAAATATATATTTTATAGCAAGTAATGTATTGAATGCTGCAATGTTTTAATATCTTAGAAAGTAATAAGATGAATGACTTTTAACGACTGATAATGCACTACTGCCATATGGCTGTTAAATAAGATAAACCAGAGGAGACTTTTCACAAGACTGTCATGAACTAAAGCATACATTTGAAAGGAAATGTAATCAAACCACAATCAAAACAACAAATTACTTCTGTTTTTTTGGAAAATTGTGTATGGATTATATTTTTCAATACAAGTGTAATTGAAATATATATTTTATAGCAAGTAATGTATTGAATGCTGCAATGTTTTAATATCTTAGAAAGTAATAAGATGAATGACTTTTAACGACTGATAATGCACTACTGCCATATGGCTGTTAAATAAGATAAACCAGAGGAGACTTTTCACAAGACTGTCATGAACTAGTGCCTTTCATTTCTAAGTGCTCAAATGTGCATCTTTTTAAAGATACTTATTAAACGGCATTCCTAAAAGTTTTCAGTTAAAAAAATGACAATGTTCTGTGCTGAGAAGATGGATTAATGTTACTGATTTTAAATAAATACAACTATCATACATCAAAACGTGTTTTTTTCATATACACTGTATATATAGGGGAGACTGGATATATGACACAAGGGCTGTATTATGAATCAAAAGCCTAATCATATAAATGCAGACGTTTATGGTGATTTCAAATTGACATTTTTGTGATTACTATTCTCCAAACAAAATTGAACCTTCATACTGTATATTTTAATAGCACTTGGAGAAACAAATAAACACAATATAATATACTGTAAATACTGTGAAGTAACTTAAAATAACTCCACCCTTAAAAATATCTACTTTAAAGTTTGTATCAGCTAGTCCTGGACTCCCTTGTGTTAAGTAGGCGTTAACATGCACGCGACAGACAGCGGAGTGAATTCATCACCTTCCAGTCTTTCCTGATGTCTGAGGACTGCTGTTGAGCTCATGCTCATTCACTGAAAAAGTCTTTACCTGTTTTATTTAGTTTTTGCGCTTTTTTTTCATCATTTTTGAGCCGCACCGTTTGATTCAGTCGTGATGTTGCGGATTGTGGTGTTGATGGGGCTGCTGGCTGTGGAGGGCTCTGCGGCTGCGCTGCCCAAGAACGGTAAGACATTTACAGCCTGTCTCTGCACGTGACACAGGCTAAAATATGATGAACTTAAGTAACATACAGTGCTTTGGTGAGAGGAGCAAATGTGAACTTTCTGTACTTTGTATTTTTGAAAGTAAGCATTACAATCCACTGCTAAAAAAAATGACGTGCGAGTTATATAGCTGCTTCTACATACTTTGAGAAGCAAAGTTCACACTAAGTGCTTACTAGTTCGTTTTTAAATAACTCGGCATCAGTGTTGGGGAGTAACTAGTTACATGTAACGGAATTATTAATTGGAAAAAAATGTAACTGTAATCTGGTACAGTTACTGAGAGAAAAATGTGTAATTAAATTAGCTACTTATGAAAATGTTAACGAATACAAAGGGGGTTACATCTGAATATGTTCACACACACACATACAGATTTGATTGATTTCGTTCCCAAATTGCATTAACTGCTTAAAAAAATTACATCAATGATTCAGGAGTTTATGACAGAATAAGACATGCTTATTTGATAACTGTTTTATTTCCTATTTGGATTTATGTATATGATTTATTTTTTAAGAGTAACTTTTTTTCCAAAGCATTGTTAGATGCCAGTGTGTTTCCTGTCATAGCCTATCTATGCAAATATTTGATTTCAAAAAACAATATCATAGCTATCAAACCAAATCTTATGATTCAAAATCTCTATTTAACCTCAGAACGATCTCAGAGTAAAAAGAGGTGCTAAAGTCTGATTTTGTGGTGGCTGTGGTTTAAAATTAAATAATCTTATAATCTTAATTCAAGTGATGAAGGATTCTGAAAGTCTGTCAGTAATGAGTGTTGAGTCCTACAGTAAGGTTAACCTTGTCTGGTTTAAATGATTAACGGTTAAAAACATTCATTAGAAATTTAGAAAAGTAATTATAAGTAATCAATTGTAATCAGTTACTTTACTTTAATAAAGTAATTGAAAGTTACACTAATGATTACATTTTAAATAGGGTAATTTGCTATCTGTAATCCATTACATTTCCAAAGCAACATTCGTTTTTTATATTTAAAGAATTTGCCACTGACGATTCAAACGCAAGTTTTGAGCAGTGTAGAGTAGCGTTTGTAGTTTGTCATTTCTCCAATCACAAATGCAGACATGGTTTTATGTTTACGCGGCGCGATGCAATGCAACGCGTAAAAAGACAGTATATGTCATTATAATCTGTAATTATGTCTCCACTGGATGCAACAAATGCCTCGTTTATAATGGGTTTTAATGTTTTTGTCTCGTAGCTCCGGCCGAGGCAAGGCATCACAGTATGGTAAGGGGCGTAACATTTCCGTCACACGCTTGAGGTATTCGGCCAATCACAACGCACTGGATAGCTGGCCAATCAGAGCACACCTCGCTTTTCAGACCAGTGAGCTTTGTAAAAACGCGTTTCAGAAAGGCGGGGCATAGAGGAGAAACAATAATGTACAGTATGTGGAAAATAATGTGTTTTTTGAACCTTAAACCGCATAAACACATTTCATTACACCAAATACACAAAATAATGTTCATTTTAGCAACATCA